ACGCCCTATCCACTACACCACTGAGGTTGTTCCTTTTAGAGACAGCATTGGTTGAACACAAGGGTTCATTACTTACATATATGAGATGAAATACATTTCCAAGATGTGGCAAATGTAATGGCAACGTGGAAAATGGAAATAAATTCATGAAAACTGTCATACATATTCTGGGCACGTAGCTTCATGAATGGCTCAGTCAGTCTCGGGCCACAATGGGACATTGTTTACGCGGTAGTTTGGTGGGTGGCTTCGGGGAGAGCTATCTACAATGGTTATCGATTAGAAAACCGATATTGCTTTTACGAAGGCTGTGTGATTCACACATACCATTCCGAAGTCATTGTAACGGTAATGAAATACTGTTGATTGAATTATGACAAGCACTGTGAGGTCTGAATTCTTTTACTGTATTCAAAACGGTATTTGTTTACTTTAATGGGTTATAGTTATAAAGATTTTAATCATTGATCTTTCCTCTGTTTATAAAACATGATATGATGTTCTGTGTTTAAGAACATGCACTAAAGCTGTGTAATTGTACATGTTTGTCAGTGAGCGTGTTTAGTTTTACGCCGCACTCAGCAATAGTCCAGCTATATGGCGGCGGTCTGTAAATAATCGAGTCTGGATCAGACAATCTAGTGATGAACAGCATGAGCATCGATCTACGCAATTGTGATACGATTGCATGTGTCAAAGTCAGCGAGCCTGACCACCCGATCCCGTTAGTCACTTCTTACGACAAGCATGAGTTACTGAAGATCAACATTCTAACCCGGATCTTCACGGGTGTTTGTCATGTGACATAAATGTTATTGTGTGGTGTCCGGCAACAAACACATATTTCATGATCGACAGGTGCTACCAGTTGGGTACGACATGTTTTGTAACAGTTAACCCTTTTCGTCGCTATTTAGCCTAAAAGTATTTCGCCCAATGGAAACTGTTAGGTTGGATTATCGAGGTTAAATTCTGGTGGTGTAGGTTATGTTCAGATATGAAGCGGAAATACGGGTATGCTTAAAAAGACATTAGATATTTTAGCTCGCTTGCTCTTTTTAGTAATATGTTTTTGTAATAGCTGTTTTTGAATACTACAATATATTTGCGTTGTAGTTTAACGCCGCACTCGGCAATGTTCCAGCTATATGGCAGTACAACAATATATACGATGGTACTGATCAATATCAGTGGGTGAGTGAGTGAGTTTGGTTTAGCAATATTCCAGAAATATCACGACAGGGGACACCAGAAATGGACTACACACATGTACCTATGTGGGGAATCGAACCCGGGTCTTCAGTGTGACGAGCGAAAGCTTTAACCTCTAAGCTACCCAACGCCCCTGATCAATATGAAATATTACTGATTATACAGGTGTAACAGAGTATTGATATAATTTAATATGGACAAATATATAATTTCTTATTATTCTTCACATATTTGGTACTGCTTATAGTTTCCGCACGGCCAAGGATGATTAACGGTAAGCCTTTGTATAGACCTTTCAAGCGAAAGCCATGTCGAGTGGTCCCTTAAAGCTGATTTTCCAGGGTCAACAGTTTGAAAGTGTGTGTATTGGTGCCAGGGGCTATTAGCGTACCAGTGTTACCGTTTCTTCGGCTAATCTTTATCCTAAAATCAGGTTTTTGTGGAGACATATTTAGCCGGTAGAACTAAAGGTCAAACGGGTATGGCGCTCTTCATATACAAATGATTTAATCCTGGTTAAGACCTGGCTTTCCTTATGGAACTTGTCAAATGTCAGTACACCTGTGCAAACTATCAACTGATTTCTTTCACTTTTTCCTCTGCGGATTGTGGTTGAAGAAGATTATCCACCTGAATAACTATGTAGATTGACATCTAATGTCAAATAAGATAAACTGCGTATGCCTTTTATCCCGAAGGGAAAGGGCAGATTGTAACACTTACCTTACACAAATAGAATAGATGTAGCTGATTCCTATATTCACGAATGCATCTGTTGATGTTCGCATTTCCAGCAAACCTCTTACAAACCTCATAAAACCTTCTGGTCTAGAAAAGCAATTTTGTAACATTTTTTCTGAATTCAAATATATGAATCAATGTCAGAGAGGATTATCAAGTGACTAGCGTCTATCAATATTCATTTCAATAACCGAATCTTTCACCCTAACCATTAGAATACCAGGGCAGAGTTCTGGTCCAGACTCGATTTGTTTACTGTAATACTGTTGACACACATATATACTCATGATATAGTCACAATTGTACAATCGGCTCTAAAAGCAGAGATATCTTATGAATGTGGGTGAGTGAGTTTAGTTTTACGCTGCTTTTAGCAATATTCCAGCAATATCACGGCGGGGGACACTAGAAATAGGCTTCACACATTGTACCCATGTGGGGAATGGAACTCCGATCCTCGGCGTGACGAGCGCACGCTTTAACCACTAGGCCACCCCACCGCCCCTCTTATGAACAATTTCTGGTGTCCTCCACCGTGATATTGCTGGAATATTGCTAAAAGCGGGGTAAAACCATACTCACTCACTCATTCACTTATGAACGTGGAAGTGATTTTGTCGCATTTATGCACCATGCTGTTTGCATGGGATATATAATAGTCAGTATGTCGTTTATGTGTTTGTGTAAGTTTATTTTGTGTGCGTGCGTATGCGTGTGCGTGCGTGGGAATGTATATATATGCATGTGCGTGTGCGTGCGTGGGAATGTATATATATGCATGTGCGTGTGCGTGCGTGGGAATGTATATATATGCATGTGCGTGTATGCCTTCTTTTCGGGATTACACTACCAGTATTTTACACTACCACTTAGTGCAGTGCAAAATCTCTACTTCCACTCTTTCGTGTTGTTATTGGCGATCACAACTTCACTTTTATCACCTTCAATCACATGTCCCCCACAGAGTACCCCATAACCTGATCTGCACCAAACCACTCTATTTTAAAAAATATACCCGATAAGATAATTTTCTTTACAACCATAACACTGTATCTTACAGTTGATACAAACAAAGCGATGCCTGTGACAGGATATTCCTTTAAAACACGTTTCTATTCATTTCTAATTCACACACGAGACAACACTGTGCCCTTATCTCATGGCCTCGACTGAGTGCTGATATGGCGCACCTTGAAATGAATAGAAGCTACGCTCTTCTGTCGCCTTGTGGTGTCGCAGTTACCCCAACACACGCCCAGGGCCCTGAAAAAAAACTGATTAGAGGTTCCCAACTGGCAAAACAGGTTCTAACATTAATCACGGTCAAGCTGACATTATCAGCTCGCTTCCTTTGTTTGGTTGGGTCGAGACCAAGAAATTGATTCTTATGCAAGAGTTGAAACGTGTTATCAAAAAGTGGGTTTTTACTGATAGCAGCCGAACGTTGATAGAAAATAACATGTTTGACGTATGTGTTTACAGTAAATATCTACATACTCTAGCAACCATGCAATTCTACGCTTAATAACAGGAATATATAACCCCAAAAGGTGGGTCTGGTTCTAGAAGTTTCTTAAATGTAAATGGTTCACCACATATATACTGGTATATAGAGTAAAACGGAGAGTAAAACACAATGCAAATTGGTTTTGCTAGAACCGTAGATTAAACAGTTCACAGTTAACTTCAGTCCACTTTAGGGAAGGAGTGAGTGAGTGAATACAGTTTTACGCCGCTTTTAGCAACATTCCAGCAATATCACGTCGGGGGACACCGGAAATGATTTTCATATATTGTAACCATCTTGGGAATCGAACCCGGGTCTTTGCCGGGGCGGGCGTACGCTTTGTTACCACTAGGTTACCCCCGCCCATTTGAAGGAGTGAGTGAGTGAGTGAGTTGGGTTTAACACCGTTTTGAACAGTTATTCCACTAATGCCACAGCTTATCAACTTAATTTTGGTGCCAAAGAGGTGAAGGTCCCAGTCGTTTCCCTGTTAGTGCCTAGAAACATAATCGGGGTTAATCGTGATTCGAACATACGATCTCAGGGCGCCTATGTGCCCAAGGGTTGCAACTCTGTACAGGGTATTATGGACAGGTGCTTTAGACGCCCGTGTCCCAAGGGAGATACAATGCGCTATTTCCGGTGTTGTGAAGTTCCTTAAAATAACACGGTCACACATATTGACTGAAGTCATTGTCGGATAAAAATGTCACAAAACTATCGAAAGGTGTGAAAACTACACTCTAACCACAAAGCCTGTCAGGAGCGTAGCAAGCCTTTTTTTCGTATAAGCCCAATAGGTTGCAACGCTTTATACTTAGATAGTATTGAGGGCTTGCCCAACCTTTTTAGCAAGAATCATGTGTAAGCCTGGGCTTTTTAATAATGGTAGCTAGGCCCCTACCTGTGTCACCAAATTGTGAAATTTGTATTGCATTGTTCCTATCGCCCTTCTAATCCCAGGGTTTGCCGAATTGTGAAACAGATGCCCTTTGAGGTGCTTAACATATATCCCAGGCAATCAGTTCCGGAATCACAACATAATCAGTTAACATGCGGATGTTTGAATTGAAAGTGAACTTCCTTCAGCCCTTTGCCAAATGATAATCTGTGTTCTAGTTATGGCATCAAACGTGTGAAGTCCTAGATTCCATTCCTTTGTTTCTTCCTGAACCTTGATTAACTGCTCAGAAATTAAAGTTAGGCACCGAGTCACTTAACCTTGCACCATCCTTCAAGTAAACAACTTTCAAGAAAACCATGTATTCATGTCCAAATCTAAAATCTAGTCATTCACAAACCAAATGTTCTCTTTTAGAAAGAAATTGTTTCATTTTCGTTAAGGGCTTTTCTAACAATCCCTTTTAAAGGATTTGATTGTTTGTAAAACAGTGAACATAATCAGAAACTTCAGCTCGTAAGGGAAGGATATAAAGGATCAACAAACCGGTCATGAGTATATTTATACTGTTGCAGGTCTGATAATAAAGGAACTGTTTCGTTCTGTATGTCATCTTAACAAATATTTTCTTTATTTTAGCTCAACCAGAGACGAATGTCTGCCTCATTACGCCTGTCTTCAACGTGTCTGGCCAGCATCAACGAAGAAGGTGACGACGGTGGTGGAGTTTTCACCAATGGGAAACTACAAGACTGCACAAACCTGGGGGGTTCTACAGTTGGACATCGAAGGCATTCAAGTTTCAGTCTGGAAGCCTGTCGGAATAGGCGTCCTCTGAACACAACGGACACTGATGTGTTTGAACACCAACTTACCACCGAGTCTGACAGACTCCAAAAGTCGCAGTCATGGAGTTCTTTACTGTCTGGTTCTGCCTTCAGATCTGTGAGTTCAGAAAGTTTGAATGAGAGAAACAATGACATGACAGCAAATCAGTTTACAAACACCCCGAATACAAGGAAGAACCAGAGGAGTTCTTCTTTCTCTGCCATTCCTTCAACAAGTTATAACCAGCATTTTGCTAGACACGATCCAGTCGGCGAGGATCAGATTGTGAATAATGAAAACATTGAACCTAAGTTACGCCGAGCTAGCATTCAGTGTGAAGCTGTTTTGACAGGAGGCGGGAGTAAGAAGAACCAAGGTATATTCAAAGATGTTGACTTGGCAAACGTGTCACAAGACATGCCGAGTCCTCTCCATGCAGTTTTGCATGGTTTCAAAGCTCCACAGTCCCAGACTAAAGCTGCGAATATGGCTGAGCAGCCAGTCCAAAAATGTGTACAGAAAAACAGTTCCACCTTTGGATCGCAAAGTGTGAAGATATCCAGTTCTTCAAATGTTATTCAAAGGCGGAATTCTTTCAATGTTGAAACCAGCCTGTCTCCTAGAGGAAACGAACGTTTTTATAATGGTCACTCCAGAACATTAAGTGAAGCTGACATAAACGTTTCTAGACTGTCAAAGGGAAGTAGTGTACCAAGCAATATCCATGTTCTCAGTCGGGATACACCTAAAGTGAACAACTACTTTGCAAAACGTTCTCCAAGCAGTTCCATCCTGTTTCAGAATATGAAGAATGAAAAGCACCACTCTGGAATGTCCGAGAGGTCATACGGCCCAAGGACATATTCTGATGGCAATCTGACACTAGACCCAAGACATAACTCCTTCCAGAATGTTAGACGGGTTGAACCCCGAACTTACACAAACAATCAAAGGCAACAAAATGGCATCAACGGTGATAGAAAGAAATCCGAAGGCAATGTGTTTGTTGGTGACAGAGTATCGTCATCCCGTTCCTCACCCAACGGCAAAACTATAAACAAGGACAATAAAGCAGCTGAAACAAAATCAACGGTTCGTCCAAGAGAATCAGTTGAAAATAAAGACTGTGATAAAGATCGAGGGAAGGAGCAAGAACCAAACAAGGACGATCATTCATGTTCAGACACTGAACATGAACAGAACCAAACACCATCAATCCAGATCCCTTACCATGAGAAAAAGTTCAGCATAGCTTCTGATGAGGGGTACGTCACGTCTCCTCCAAGCACACCGTGCGGACGCCACGCCCATAGTATTGTCTCCGACAGCAGCTGGATCTCCACCGACTTCGACGACACTTCGTCAAGTTGCGAACCAAGCCCTGTTCACGGTCCAGGGAAAGTGATGGCTGTATTTCTTAAGAGAAATGACATCTCTCACGAATATTCCAAGGCTAAACATTCCCGCCGATCATCTGACTATGGAAGTACTTCCGAGATTGACAGGGTTCAGGAGCGGGAATGTGAGGCACATCGAAGTGAGGAGGGGCTAAAACAAGATTTGTACAAAACTGATAGTTGTGCATCTTTGCCTTTCCGCCAAACAGAAGTGTGACTCTTGTCTCACGGATAACAAATGTGTATTTGTTCAGCTTTCGTTTCGATGTCTGTGACACAATGACAACTGAATCAGTTGAGGTCTGACAAATGACAAGGGATTCAAAAATTGTATTTATTGAAGACTGGTCCATGGAACACTCTTATTGGACCAGTTTTGAATTCTTCATATGTTCATGTGTCGCATTTCATATACAGTTCCACAGTTCCTGACCTTGAGTACTTGAGATGTGTGACATGGTGAGAATATCAAGGTTTTTTTCGCTTGAACCTTTCGCAGAATATAAGAAGGTTTTGAGTTTCGAAACGCATTTCAGTTTTATATGAATGTTTGATTACAACTGCCATGACAGTTTCTCGGTAACAGGGAATCTTTGCAAATTGTTTTTCATCTTTGTGTCCATGAATTTGAGTATCATATGCGCAAAACGGTCATTTAATAATCTTTGTTCTCATGTAACTTCAGTGTCACCTATAATTAGTTCAGCAGTGGAAAACGTTTTGTTTGTAAAACATACGTCGCACGGGTAATTGAGAATAAAAAACATCACGGCAAGGAAGTAGGTTTATACCCACAATGCACATCGTTAAATCATACATGTTAAACATATTCATATACCTCATAGGACACTTTAAATCAAAATAACATTATTGATCACTAACTGTTACATCGAGTAAACGAATAAGACAATCAAACTTTTACTTATGTGTGTGTGGGCAACGGTACCGTTTATAACAATTCAGCAAGTTAGAATTGCTTTTTATATAGTGCTAAAGTTGTCCTTTCTGCGATTACATGGTGTATATTATACGTAGTACTGTTAGATATGACAGATGCAGTATAGAATAGGATAGTTTTCATTTGACAAACATATCACTTGAAGAAATCACATCATCTATATCTTAATTATTCGTACAAGTTTCAATGGAACTGAAGTATTTGCAGATGCCAGTACGAAACAGAGATTGGTATACCAGATATGATGTTGTAAACGTGCACATGCATTTAAAATTGACTCCAATTTACAAACACAAATTTATTGACAGTAGCGTTGTATCTTTTAATCCACACATCGTAGATTGCCTGTTCCGAAGAATTACAGTATTATTATAAATTACCCGAGGACAATTTAACCTTGACAGCTTCGTCAGAATGAACCAGGATCTACTTTATGGTATGTCATGTCAAGGGTAATCAACACTCTGTTTGTGATAGCCAGTAGACCAGCTTCTGTATTTGCTAAGCATAGGGTGCACATTATGTGTGTGTGGTGATAAATAGCGAAAATCCTGTTCGTTTCAACATGCTTTCATAATAAGCGTATACATTCCAATGATTCATTGAAGAGGTGAAGTAATGTTAGGTCATGCTCAAGCGATGAAATATGATTGATTGGTGCATGTAAACTTTTTAAAACGACAACTGATACTCATGTGTCAGTGGTCTTGTATGTCGCTGTGGAATTAACTCATGAAGGTATATTCGTCGGTATATCCCGGCGTGGATTAAGTCAATGCATTCATGTCTGGTGCAAAATGCTTGAAGGGGTTATGCTGAAACCGATACTGAGCTTGTCTTAAAGATGTTTAAAGATATTTGTCATCCTGTTGCAAATACGTTTTTGATTCATTGCAATATTGTTATATACTGACAACTGAAAGAAACGCAACACGGATTCAACAGATATGCTAGTTGTACCTATAATACATAATTTTGATCTGTGTTTACAAGTTAAAGAGATAATATATAAATACTCGGAAAGAATCAACCCCATAAACAATCAATTGTAAGGTGACGGAAATCGATATTGTGCATGTCACCGTAAATCTGCGGACATTAAATAATCTTTACGTGTGTATTAATCGATGGTTCTGTAGGATTTCAAGCAATGAACATTATGCATATTTCCGTCTTAAAGTTTCTTCTATGTTGCGTTTCTTTCATTAGTCAGTATAGCGCTTAGATTTCAGTTGGATGAGTTGTATGTGCTTTTTGTAGGTAACGAATATATGTGAAATAACTGTTATAGCATAGTACAGGCCAGACAGGGCTGATATCCCATAGTTAGTACTGTTGGACACGTAAATGGTAAATGGAAGCAAAGAGTCTGAAATCAGAGTTGGAGTCCGTTGTATTGCCCTGTTTCAAGAATTGCACTCGATGAAACCCATGCATAAATTTACCACAATGAATAGGATGTAGTGGGTTTTAAAGTTGTACACTCATCAATGTGGTAGAAAATAGATCTAGCCTGCAATCAACTATACCAACGGTTCTAGTACGACGAATTGATTTATTTTTAACTTTTAATCTTTCGTCAAAAGACGTTGCGTCATCATCGTGTACAAGGAAGGGAGCCCCAAAATCAGTTCGTTTAGTCAACATATGCATGAACAGAAACCATATTTCACATTCCTATGGGGTACGAAGGTTTAAACCGATTGTTTTATCTCCAAACGTAATGTTATGACCGGAAATGACTGCACAGGCAAACGTATGTACAGACAGAACCCAGTCTCTGTTTAACCAAATCAAATTGTGTTAAAACATAATTGTTAGACTTTGACTCGATTTTTTGTTATGAAAATTAATTTAGACTGACCCTGCCCACTTGTACATATGGCCTTAGCTTGACGAAGGTAAATTTAAGGACACCTTAACACCTTAGGCGTGTACTGTTGCATGGCGCCTATAGCGGTAATGGCGTGTCTTCTTTTAGGGCTTCTATGGTGCTGTACGTTAATGCTTTCATCTCCCCAGGGGATACAGGTGCACTTGGTCACATGACGATCTGTGCGCAACGTGATATGTGTTTGCCTGTGATAAGACTGTTTGAAAATATATGCTTGCGGCTAGGATCACTGTGTCACGTTATTGGTGAATAAAACCTATATTTATAAATCTGGTTCGTCCTGTTATAGTTGTCTAGGGTTTGTGTTAATGTATTTATACACTTAATATTGTATTTACAATGTACGTGAGTCCTTTGATATGATGCATTTATTTTTAATGCCAGTTGTATTCAAAAAAGATCTTAGTGCTCGCTGCATCTACACAAATATCTGAGGACATTCCATTGCGGGTCATATCAGTCATATCATTATATGATTTGTTTAATGTGAAGTTAATGGCTTTTCCATTAAACGAAGGTTGGTGAAGCTGACTTTCATACGCGTATAAACACTACATTGTGACGTTTATAGCTGTTCATGTGATAGTATTCTAGAAAAGACAGAAACACAACTCCCTCAACGTTCCTGGTGAACCGTTGAGAATTGATCAGAACCTCTAATTGTAAGAGGGGGGCGATGGGGTAGCCTAATGGTTAAAGCGTTGGCTCGTCACGCCGAAGACCCGGGTTCGAATCCCCACATAGGTACAATATGTGAAGCCCATTTTTGGTGTCCCCAGCGGCGTAAAACAAAACTCACTCACTCCTTTCACGCGCATAATCTTGAAAACGGTTTGTTTTTTCAATGTTAGTTTTACTGTGATCTAACTATCATGGCCCATCCTGGGGAACAACACAGAATGTACATCAAACACTGTCGACTCCGTGTATAGACGGACAGTGACGGTTAAGAACATTCTTCATCATTCTGTGAGTCTACTTCAGCATCTATTAGACACATCCTGTTAAGAACCATTCAGTGATAGGCAAGGTTAACAAGGATGACTGACACCTAATGCCAATACATTGACAACCTGGGACATCTTCCCCGTTTAGTCGATCGTGTCCGCCATTGTGACGACCAATAGCTGAATGTATTACGACGCTCTCCTACCCAGTCAGTTCCGCAGTCAACCAAGTACATGTAGTACACTTTCAACAATATATAATTATCATCTTTGTTGTTTCGTGTATAGTCCACACATTTAGATAAAACAAGTCACGAAATATTTTAAAATTTTGCCGGACCTTTCGTTTCTATTTATTTATGCATTTTTTTGGTTTGTTACTTATTGCACGGTTCTAATTGGAGGATTCGAACCTCGTTTGTAGTTGGCAATACAGTCACGTGCATACTGTCCTACCCGTCTCTGCTGAGATATATTTTGGAATATACAAACAAAGTTTATTCTGTGTTGAAACAGACCGGGTTGCTCAGCTTTCAGTATCAGTGGGTTTGCTTACGAACAAGAGAAAAATCCGGTCACATGATATACAAATTAACTTGTGACACCGGTGTGGTGCCAAGGTATCACCGCGCCAGAGTGTGGTTTTACAACACGCTAATGCTCAACTAATGAGAATATTGAAATTATTTCTTGTTATGTACCAAACTACGCGGGATGTTGCTACAAGCATTTACAACGTAGATGTGATGACATTGTCTCTCGTGGGACGCTTCTTATTCCGCAATATAGCTTGTGGGCGTTAGTGTAAATGTGGGGTCGCACCTGCAACTTGTCATTGTATATGTACATACTTGGAAATAGTAGACATTCTTCCATTTTGCCTAATCAATTCACATAACTTGAGGGGCGGTAGGGTAACCTAGTGGTTGAAGCGTTTGCACGTCGAAGACCTGGGTTTGATTACCCCACATGGGTAGAATGTGTGAAGCCCATTTCTGGTGTACCTTTACTGTGATATTGCTGGAATATTGCTAAAGGCGGCGTAAAACTATACTCACCCATTCACATAAATTGAAAGACGGTGCCAACTAGTAGGCACCCTGTGTAGGTTTAACGTGTTGAGTAGAACTGCGGTTTGGGCAAAATGGCTCCAAACAAAAGGTGTCACATTACACCTAAAATAAACCTGTAGACAGACAGGTGCGAACTTTCACTTTGTTCAGAAAAATGATAAGATATACACCTAAAACAAATCTGCAGACAGACAGGTGCGAACTTGATAGGAACAATTTGGGCAGCATTACCTTTCAGCAACCCTCACCATACATGTGACCGAGTTAGAATTGATCTTCAGCAAGCCATTCTTGTAAGAGCCGACTAACGGGATCGAGTGATCAGGCTCGCTGACTTGGTTGGTGCGTGTCATAATTGTGAAGATCGATGCTCATGATGTTGATCACTGGATTGCCTGGTCCAGACTCGAGTATTTACAGACCGCTCCATACAGAATACTGCTGAGTGCGGCGTTAAAGTGAGTGAGTGAGTGAGTATGATTTTACGCCGCTTTTAGCATTACTCCAGCATTATCACGGCGTTTACACCAGAAATGGGCTTCGCACATTGTACCCATGTGGGGAATCGAACCCGGATCTTCATCGTGACGAGCGAACGCTTTAACGATTAGGCTACCCCACCGCCCCTTGCTAGGTCGAACAAACACAATGTGATACAGATATTATACCTGATGTGATGTCATACAACCGTAGTGTGGTTCAGACAATATACTTGATGTGAGGTCATACAACCGTAGTGTGCTTCAGACCATATACATGATGTGAGGTCACACAATCGTAGTGTGGTTCAGACAATATACTTTATATTAGGTTATACAACCCGTAGTGTGGATCAGACAATATACTTGATGTGAGGTCATACAGCCGTAGTGTGGTTCAGACAATATACTTGATGTGAGGTTAAACAACCCGTAGTGTGGTTCAGACAATATACTTGATGTGAGGTCATACAACAGTAGTGTGGTTCAGACAATATACTTGATGTGAGGTCATACAGCCGTAGTGTGGTTCAGATAATATACTAGTGCTTGATGTGATGTCATACAGCCGTAGTGTGGTTCAGACAATATACTTGATGTGAGCTCATACAGTCGTAGTGTGGTTCAGACAATATACTTGATATAAGGTCATACAGCCGCAGTGTGGTTCAGACAATACACTTGATGTGATGTCATACAGCCGCAGTGTGGTTCAGACAATATACGTGATGCGAGGTCATACAGCCGTAGTGTGGTTCAGACAATATACATGATGTGTGGTCATACAGCCGTAGTGTGGTTCAGACAATATACTTGATATAAGGTCATACAGCCGCAGTGTGGTTCAGACAATATACTAGTACTTGATGTGATGTCATACAGCCGTATAGTGGTTTAGACAATATACTTTGTGTGAGGTCATACGGCCGTAGTGTGGTTCAGACAATATGCTTGATGTGAGGTTAGGCATGTTCCCATTTCGCCTACATCCCATTTCGCCTACAGTCTTAAATCAACAATTCATGGTCTAGTGACTGTTATTTCATGCATGAGTAATAAGTTTACCCCCTTCAGATATAAATGGAATCTCCCCTAGTTTTCCTTTATTTGATTAATAGCACATGTAGACAACATGGCTTTTTGCATTAAAATAAAAAAATTGTTCTTCATTCACAGCAAATCATAGTACAATATAATACAATAATCAAAATAACACTGGCTGTTAACTAGTACACTGTACTTGAGTTCATGGATGTCTGAGTTTATTGAAGCTTCAATAAGTGACTTGCTGCGTCCTGGAGCTGAATAGGTGATCTTCTTCCACTTTCAAGTTGTTGTCTCAGTCGGTTGAGACGCTGGTCAAGATCTCTGTAAGCTCGTGAGCATAGCCGAGTTGTTGCACCATGGTCAATCTGAAGGCGAGTGATGTTGTTGGTGGATTCAATGTTCTTGATAGCTGTTATGAATTCATAAATGTTCGGATGGTGCTTTCCCACAAGTTTTTTCAGACCATGATGGTGCTGCATCTTCCTTTACATCCCTAGATCACACACTTCCAGTGTGTAGGATCAAAATGATTAATATTTATTTATAATCACAAACTGTTGTAAGTATGTCACTGCTACTTTTGATCTTCATATCCGTAATCCTTAAGCCAATTGCTTACATAAACACAGATTATAAGTTGACTCCATTTAAAGACAGTGATATACTTATCTTTTTACTCATACATTGTGAAACTGACCTTCCTTAATTCCACTAAGTCAAGTCCATTCTCTCAATAGGGGTGCATTTTCTATTCCCTATTCGCCTACATGTTTACTGTAGGCGAAATGGGATGTAGGCGAAATGGGACTCAACCGTGAGGTTATACAACCGTAGTGTGGTTCAGACAATATACTTGATGTGAGGTCATACAGCCGTAGTGTGGTTCAGATTATATACTTGGTGTTAGGTTACACAACCATAGTGGGGTTCATGGTGCGTTCTCTTGTCTCTCGTTCTTACGCTTGTCATGATGTAAAACAACAAGAAATGTCTGAAAGATAAAAAAAACAACCAGTAAACATTTTTTCTGCCTTAAACAACACTGAAATATAGGGTTAGATGGCCGGTTTGAAACGTAGATTTCTAAATTGTTGACTGTGTATCATGTAACGTAAATGTAATGGGCTCCTCTTCAAGTCGACTTGTATCGTAGCTTTCTCTGTGGAGAGCGTTTTGAAACTGGAGTTCTAATGTCAGCATACTCTGTCGCAGCACCTACAAAAACATATAACACGTAATCCCAGATCGTCGTTCAAAGTCACGTAATTCTACAAAAACAAGTGATTTATTACTCGGGATCTATCCCTCCAGTTACCCAACAGACATACAGGCTGGGAGAAGGTCATTAACAAAACCTATATCAGCAAACAGACAAGTGAGTCAGTGAGTCCAACGCCGGGGAAGGCACGTCGTAAATACAACCTCAACAGCACAGGTGGACGACATCCTCACAATAAGCTCTAGACACATGTCAGGTGTTAGCATAGTGATTTACACACTGTAATCAATGGCGTAGTCAGTGTGGTCTGCTTAATATAAGAGGTGGGACATGAGTGGCCCCGTCGTTTCAAGCTTTGTACAGGGTTGCACTCCTTACACTTACCAGGATTCTATGATCGTAAGATCGAATCCCGTTTCGTCATGTTTATATATGTTGAATTAAAGTATAACCTGTTTTGCTAGAACTGTGGGGGTAAATTTGGATTCGGTGATTTAAAAAAAG